TACCCACAATCCTTTGCCTGGCCTACTGGAAGGCAGGCACATCCTGCATGTCAGCCCTGCTAAACTACCTACTAGACTGACTGAAGTCTCACTGTCATGGCTGCACCCTACTCCCCATTGCTGCTTTGTTGCATTTTTATCTGACAAATTTTCAGTTGTTTTTATTTGTGTTTTGTTTGTTTTTCAAGAAGAAAAATGCCTTGAAAGTCTTTGGATTCTCTTTTAGTGTGGTGTATTTCTAAATATACATTTTTTTTTGTCTTTTTGTTTTCCGTTGCAGCTGTAACACTGTATGTGTTAAATCGGTGCCACAGAACCATGGTTTAGACCGAACCCAGCGCCCTGCTCTGTCTCTCAGCAAATGGTTGCCTTCTGTTCAGGGGTCAAAGGTCATGTGTAGTATTCTGTGCTAAGAATTGGTTCCCCTCGTTTCTGTGCCAACCCCTCAGAACACTGGGCTTTGACAAGCTAAAAGAAAGCAGCTTGACCAAGATGCTCTTGTTTTCTGAGGTTCTGATATTTCAAAAGAGATTTTTTCATTATTGTTGTTTGTTTATAAGTTGTGAAAAGGGGGTTCATTCATCTGTTCTCCAGTGAATCTCCTCCTGCCAGTATCAAAATGCTGTTGTACACAAACATATGCACTATTTACAAAACAAGATTATATCAAACATGTTTAAATTAATGTGCCAAACTATGAACAATTAAATGTACAGACATTTTTATCTACATAAATATTTGCTGTTTTATAATGTGGCAGTGATTGAGGAGCGTGTGTGTGCTTGGAATGGGGGGGTTGTTAATCTGAGATTCACTCCTGTTGCTTTACATCTGTACAAACAGCTAGCGGCGAGGAGTCATCTCAACGATCAAAAGAAAAATGTTGTTGGTTTATTTTCTCTGTTTTACACTCCTGGCTAGTTCAAGATTAGAGGCATGAAGTGAGAGATGCATGACGAGAATTGGTGGGAGGAAGCTGAAGTGCTATAATGGCAGAAAAAAACATTGGTTGCCTTTCATTCTGATGTATTTCTGGATGGTAAAAGATCACTGTTTGTGTGTGACAAGGTAAGAAAATTATCATTCCTTCTTACAACAAGACACATAACGCATTCTAACTTGTTTATGTCCCCAAGTTTCTAGTTAAGTAAATATATTTCTCTGTACGTTTAATTAATTTTACACCCTCAAAACCAGTTAAGAACAGGACCAAATATTTTTTTGAAAGTTTTTCTAATTTGTTGCTAGTGATATGCATGCATTTAAAACATGATATGGATATGTGCTGTGAATGCTGATCCCCTGTATTACTTTCTCTGACTCGCCTGTTTTTTCTTACCTGATCTCAAAACCATTGTTTTTCTATTGCTGTTGGAATGTTATTTGTTGTGTTATAAAAAGAGGGAAAGATGCCAACTTGGTTACCTCTATGTGCTGTTTATCTTTTTTTTTCTACAACTCCCTGGATCCCCTCTTTTGTGAATACCCATTTGAAAATAAATGTTTTCTTTTTGCTGCCCTTACATTCACAGAGTGTGAAACACTTTTGAGTTGTTCAACACTACACTGAATTGACAATTGTAGTTTGAGAACTGTTCCTCCTTTAGTGGGTATTTGTGCAAATGCTATACACATTGCTTTGAATGAATTGAGGTTAAATTATTGGAGTGTTGATATGTTGAAGAAAACAGGCGCAGATGATGAGTGACATTCCACAGCTGGTGGTGCAATTCAGAAGTGAGCTTTGAAAACCCCTTGATTTTAGGGTGAAATAATTAGAGCCTCATAAAGACCAGGAAATATTGGCCAGTAAAATTGATTTTAAGTTTGTTGTCCAAAATTGTTTTTTTTCTGTGCTGAGTGAATGGAGATGTAACACAGTTGGTTCAGGTCAGTTGGCTCAGGGAACCCAACTGCATTCACATCTCTCATTCCCTCAGCTGCTCATCTCACCATACAAACTCAAGCTGCTCTCAGCGCTTCCCCCTGCTGTACTGTTTTTACATAGCACTACACTTTTAAACCTGCAGGACATCTGTGATGCCAGTGCAGGGTGCTCTTGTTCATATTTTGAGAGCAAAGTTTTACACCAGTGGAAACTTTATAGCACACATCCCCTGCACTGACCGAAGCGTCCATATTTTTAAAAGTTCTTAAACAGTGTTATTCCCCTGTTCAGTGCATCATGTAAAATCAAAACGGGCATATCAAAAACTTAATTGTGCCCTATTTATGAATGTATTATATTGTCAAGTTGAGTTGTTTTTTTTATGATTTATTTGACACTACATTACTTTTAACTACTTTTGCCTTTTTTCATCATCAAGGGGGGAAAAAAGAAACCGTTTCTACTGCCTGGTCTGTCTTCACCAGGTGGATTCTCAATGAACTCTTGATGTAGGAAAAAAATAATGACCTGTATATTTTTCATTGTGCCAATTTGTAACATATTTTCTAAGTGTATATTTTTCTTAGAAAGTGATGTGAGGTCGTTTTTACTGTGGCTTTGTTCTTTTCCCTTTTCAGCAAGTGAAAAGGTTGCTAATTGCCATGATGTTTTCTTTCTTTCTTTTTCTTTCTCTCTCTCTTATTTGTTTTTTGTTTGTTTGTTTTAAAGCCAAAAATTGAAAATACTATAAAAAATAAATAAAAAACTATTGTAAAGGAGAGAGGAGAAGAGCAAGCTGTGACTCTTTGTTGAGTTTTTGTAATTGGACCAATCTTGTTGTAAGAGTGTTGTGCTCTAGTAAAATATATATATTAATTTAAAGATGAAAAAGAAACCATGAAAACAGACAGTGGAACAATAACACTAATTTGTGATCTCATTGCTGTTTTATAGATTTTCATGTAAATTATTCTAGTACTTTGTTTTTGTTGTATCTGTCACAAAAGTTGAAATATTTGTGATCAAGCCTGTATGGTGACAAATGTAATATTGGTAACTTGCTGAGTTTTGTAATCATGTTTATGGAATAAATATTAATTAAAAGAGCTTTTGATCACTTGTTTCAGAACTGTCTCATTTTTGCTTGTGGAAACGTGAACAAAATTTAATTTGATCAGGCTTTAGCGACTGTCTGATTTTCTACATTGTTTTTCTGCGTAGCTAGTCTGGTACCAAACCTAAACCAAAAACAATCTGCCTATCTTCTGTAAATCAGTTTTGATGGCAGTTTTTACAAACTGTACAACAGCAGTCCTAGGAACATGGACAAGGCGACACCTCTTCTACCACTAGAGTGCACTATTTACTATTGCAACCAGATCATTTAACTAAAAAACTAGATAAACCAGCAGTAGGGGTTCAATCTTCAACTGGCTGGCAGGAGCCGCCACTGACAGGTCACGTGACCTGCCAGTGGTTGGTGGCAGCTGCCAGTGGCAAGTCACGTGACCTGCCAGTGGTTGGTGGCAGCTGCCAGTGGCAAGTCACGTGACCTGCCAGTGGTTGGTGGCAGCTGCCAGTGGCAAGTCACGTGACCTGCCAGTGGTTGGTGGCAGCTGCCAGTGGCAAGTCACGTGACCTGCCAGTGGTTGGTGGCAGCTGCCAGTGGCAAGTCACGTGACCTGCCAGTGGTTGGTGGCAGCTGCCAGTGGCAGGCTGGCTGGCAGTATGAACTTAATTGTGCCCTATTTATGAATGTATTATATTGTCAAGTTGAGTTGTTTTTTTTATGATTTATTTGACACTACATTACTTTTAACTACTTTTGCCTTTTTTCATCATCAAGGGGGGAAAAAAGAAACCGTTTCTACTGCCTGGTCTGTCTTCACCAGGTGGATTCTCAATGAACTCTTGATGTAGGAAAAAAATAATGACCTGTATATTTTTCATTGTGCCAATTTGTAACATATTTTCTAAGTGTATATTTTTCTTAGAAAGTGATGTGAGGTCGTTTTTACTGTGGCTTTGTTCTTTTCCCTTTTCAGCAAGTGAAAAGGTTGCTAATTGCCATGATGTTTTCTTTCTTTCTTTTTCTTTCTCTCTCTCTTATTTGTTTTTTGTTTGTTTGTTTTAAAACCAAAAATTGAAAATACTATAAAAAATAAATAAAAAACTATTGTAAAGGAGAGAGGAGAAGAGCAAGCTGTGACTCTTTGTTGAGTTTTTGTAATTGGACCAATCTTGTTGTAAGAGTGTTGTGCTCTAGTAAAATATATATATTAATTTAAAGATGAAAAAGAAACCATGAAAACAGACAGTGGAACAATAACACTAATTTGTGATCTCATTGCTGTTTTATAGATTTTCATGTAAATTATTCTAGTATTTTGTTTTTGTTGTATCTGTCACAAAAGTTGAAATATTTGTGATCAAGCCTGTATGGTGACAAATGTAATATTGGTAACTTGCTGAGTTTTGTAATCATGTTTATGGAATAAATATTAATTAAAAGAGCTTTTGATCACTTGTTTCAGAACTGTCTCATTTTTGCTTGTGGAAACGTCAGTTGAAGATTGAACCCCCTCTCTAAACCAGCTGCACTGGAAACATAATTGACATGATTTATGAAGCATAGGGTCATTGCAAAATGAGGTCATTGCAAATGTCTGTTTATATTTAAACTGTATATATGATACACAAGACAGTTTTAATAAAAGCCTATTGAAATAATATAACTTAGGACATTTCTATCTATTAACTGGTTTCTAACTAACGATATGTTAAGCTTTATATAATGTAGTTATATCGTTCTTAATTTAAGTGATTTCAAAAGGTTATCGAGAAAATCTAGTTGGCTGAGAGACTATTTGGCGGTCCCAATGTAATAAAGGTTGAAAACCCCCTATCTGAAACTAAATTCATCAATGTAATTTTTGACCGAGTGTGCACGAACGCAAGCGAAACGCTGGAACGCTTCATTGAAACTGTAAACTGGAACGTCATAAAGTGTGTTGCGCATATATGTCTGTTTAGCTGCCAGTCATCCAGCCCTCAGACATATGTCCAATCATAGCCCCGAAATTGACGCGCGCCGCAGTTTATGGGCGTGTTTAACACAAGTAGGCGGGGCTACGATGGCACATAGTGGATTTGCTGCGCGGACGGACCCGAATCAGAGTAGACAACCGGCACCAGGCCCATGGCACTTCATTTAACACTTATTTAGAAGAGGTCGTTTTAGCTTAGTGTTTAAAAAAACAAAACAAAAAAACACTGTACACCACCCCGACACTATAGGCACCACGGATCAGCCCAGAATGCCAAACATTAAGATATTTTCTGGCAGTTCGCATCCGGATCTGTCGCAGAAGATCGCGGACCGACTGGGACTTGAACTGGGGAAAGTGGTCACTAAAAAATTCAGCAATCAGGAAACCTGGTGAGTTATTTAGAGTCAGAATTGCATGCTTTCCCGGAATGTTTTGGCTAGGGTACACGAAATGGTAAACACATGGTAACCATGTTTTTTTTTTAGTTTGTAGTTTTATGAATTGGAAGGTGTCATCTGGCGCAATGAGCCTCATACAGGCAGCAGACTCAATTTCCCAGCATCCACCTGCATTAAGCATGTGACTCTGGGGCCGCTAATGCTAATTTGAAACGTCCTGTCCGGCCTCTTCTGCCACGAATGCTATTAAATGTACTCTCGAGAAGTGCTGCTGCGTTATTATTATTTGTAGTTATTTTTAATAGTAGTAGTTATACTTCTGTGCGTATAAGACGTAACAAAAAGGAAGGAATATGCGGGTGCACTGCCACTTTCATGTTTTGAGATGAAAAAATAATGTTGGCCCTGGTGTCTGTGTTTATATAATTGACATTTAACTCAAGTTGAGTGGAAGGCTTGTGACCCTAAAAGATAAAATGTGTCTCTCACTCTTTATCTGCAGCTGATATGTGATAAATGCAGCCAGGTTCTTGACGCAATAGTTTCAGTTTGCTTTTCAATGGTTAACACAATCTGATCCTCAGTGGTGACCATATTACATATCAGCTCAAATCAGATACACCCCTCTAATCAGGCAGACAAGTATAGATTTATAGTGCACTGTCTTTAGTGACTGAGACTCAACCTTGTTTATGTGTGTTTTTGTCTGTTCGTCTGTCTGTCTGTGTGTGTGTAGTGTAGAGATAGGAGAGAGTGTGCGTGGAGAAGATGTCTATATTGTCCAGAGTGGCTGTGGCGAAATAAACGACAATCTTATGGAGCTGCTGATCATGATCAATGCCTGTAAGATTGCATCAGCGTCCAGAGTCACGGCGGTTATTCCTTGTTTCCCCTACGCTCGGCAGGACAAGAAGGACAAGGTGGGGGTGAGAGGAACAGCTTGTCTTTTAACACGTACACACAGTTAATCATACATTAACCGCATCGCTGTTGGTGGATCCATGTGGGCTACTTTCTGTAAGTCTTTCTTCTGTGGTATCAGTTTGTGTTTTCTGGCCCCTTGGCAACTTACAAGGCATGGCTAATTATGCTTGCTTAGCCCTTCTCTATTGTCCTGTTAATGTGTATCTGGTTAGTAGTTGTGATGCTACCTGTTCATGAGCGAGTATTTTGTCTGTAGAGTCGGGCTCCAATCTCAGCCAAGCTTGTCGCCAACATGCTGTCTGTAGCCGGAGCAGACCACATCATCACCATGGACCTACATGCATCTCAAATTCAGGTACACGCTGTGCATCGCCTTTCCTCCAAACACGCTCAAAACGCCCTTATCTCTCACGAACAGAGATGACTGGCATAACCCTACAGTCAGGCCTGAATAAAACTGGGTGGGCCTTAAATTTCTTCAGCATTTTATAGTTATGAGACTTGGACAGTGACGTTTTTTTAATGGTATGATTTCGAGTGAATGTGTTTTTATCTTTTTTCTGTTTTTAGGGGTTCTTTGACATCCCAGTTGATAACTTGTACGCTGAGCCGGCAGTCCTCAAATGGATAAAAGAAAATATCAATGAATGGAAGAATTGCACCATTGTTTCTCCTGATGCTGGTGGAGCCAAGAGGTGTGCTTTCTTTCCTTTTCTGTCTGTTTCTCAAAACACTGGTTCTCGTTCACTAGCCGTACGTACACACGAATGTGTGTGATACGCGTTTACAAAGGTTTTTATGACTTTTTTTATTTTTATTTAAATTTACAAAAAAAATGAAGGAACACTTGATACACCACATACACAAAATTAATTTACTCTAGGTGGGCTTATAAACGTATTATGATGAAAAATGATTCATAGATATTACATCTTTAAATAATTCCATATATATAAAACATTTTATCACCAGTTTTAAAAAGTGGCCTAATTTTTCCAGATTTGCTGAGAGTGACTAAAGCCTGTGCGGAAACCCCTTATATGGAAATGGTTTGGGTGTGTTTTATACAAATGGCTAACCTCAGGCACACTGTGGCCAATTTAGAGTACTCCAAATTCATTGAGATTACAACAAGGTTAAGAACATATTGGAGTCTGTATGCACATGTTGTGAATTAGGTGGAATTTTTTACAGAAACAGTTTTCCTGTGTGTGTAAATGAATAATTCACACAAGTATTAGTGAATGAGACCCATTCTCTTTTTTGTTTTCTTCATTCACTGTCACTCTTGTTTCACATTCAGTTTTCTCTGTTTATCCTTCTCACATTTTGTTTGTTTTAAAAAGTCTTTAAAAGAATGTGTTTTATCATATTTATGAGTATTGGATTACATATCATTTGATTTCATAGCAGCATAACCATTTCAGGTTGTTAAACCTGGAGAATTGTAGTTTGTAATGTTGATCAGGCTCTTGAAGACGATGGAAATGAGTGTGTTTTACTCTTTTAGGTGTGGAGGGTAAGGAAATGTCAGTTTTTCTGTGGTTATGTGTGAGTGTGTGACTTGGCTAACAGAGGATGGTTTGGCCTAAACCTTTAGCTGTACATTATAGTGGTGGGCTTTTTTTGTTTTGTTTTTTAAATCAGTTTTCTAGTCTTTTAAAGCTGGGCTAATTTAATCATGCTGATTACATCATGTGATTTGTTTCTTGAGAAATGGACTGACTACAGCGCCCCCTTTCGTAACAGTTTAAGACACTTGAGTGAGTGAGCTTATGCACACTGGTGTTTGAACTTGTTTTTACTGTAACTTTTGTGCATGTGGCTTCTCTGTGGTGTGTGATTGCGACACTTGCAGAGAAGCCTGAATGCATCCATGGTCATTTCCCACTGTTGTACAGAATGTTACTTAAGAATTATGTGCTCATTTTATCAGAGTGACATCCATCGCAGACCGCCTGAATGTGGACTTTGCCCTAATCCATAAGGAGCGGAAAAAGGCCAATGAGGTGGATCGTATGGTGTTGGTTGGGGACGTGAAGGACCGAGTGGCGATTTTAGTAGACGACATGGCAGACACGTGTGGGACAGTATGTCACGCGGCTGACAAGTGAGGACACGCATGATACACAATCACTTTCATGCTCAAACAAATATGCGCTTTCATGATTATCCTGGTAATCTGTCAGGCCTCATGCCTCTGTGTTTAATTGCTTGTGTGTCTCTGTCCTCTATCAGATTGGTGTCTGCGGGAGCCACTAAAGTGTACGCCATCTTGACTCATGGCATCTTCTCTGGGCCAGCCATTTCTCGTATCAATAATGCCAACTTCGAGGCAGTTGTGGTCACCAACACAATTCCACAGGAGGACAAAATCAAACACTGCAACAAGATTCAGGCACACAAAAGTTGAAATATTTGTGATCAAGCCTGTATGGTGACAAATGTAATATTGGTAACTTGCTGAGTTTTGTAATCATGTTTATGGAATAAATATTAATTAAAAGAGCTTTTGATCACTTGTTTCAGAACTGTCTCATTTTTGCTTGTGGAAACGTGAACAAAATTTAATTTGATCAGGCTTTAGCGACTGTCTGATTTTCTACATTGTTTTTCTGCGTAGCTAGTCTGGTACCAAACCTAAACCAAAAACAATCTGCCTATCTTCTGTAAATCAGTTTTGATGGCAGTTTTTACAAACTGTACAACAGCAGTCCTAGGAACATGGACAAGGCGACACCTCTTCTACCACTAGAGTGCACTATTTACTATTGCAACCAGATCATTTAACTAAAAAACTAGATAAACCAGCAGTAGGGGTTCAATCTTCAACTGGCTGGCAGGAGCCGCCACTGACAGGTCACGTGACCTGCCAGTGGTTGGTGGCAGCTGCCAGTGGCAAGTCACGTGACCTGCCAGTGGTTGGTGGCAGCTGCCAGTGGCAGGCTGGCTGGCAGTATGTAGCCGTACGTACACACGAATGTGTGTGATACGTTTACAAAGGTTTTTATGACTTTTTTTATTTTTATTTAAATTTACAAAAAAAATGAAGGAACACTTGATACACCACATACACAAAATTAATTTACTCTAGGTGGGCTTATAAACGTATTATGATGAAAAATGATTCATAGATATTACATCTTTAAATAATTCCATATATATAAAACATTTTATCACCAGTTTTAAAAAGTGGCCTAATTTTTCCAGATTTGCTGAGAGTGACTAAAGCCTGTGCGGAAACCCCTTATATGGAAATGGTTTGGGTGTGTTTTATACAAATGGCTAACCTCAGGCACACTGTGGCCAATTTAGAGTACTCCAAATTCATTGAGATTACAACAAGGTTAAGAACATATTGGAGTCTGTATGCACATGTTGTGAATTAGGTGGAATTTTTTACAGAAACAGTTTTCCTGTGTGTGTAAATGAATAATTCACACAAGTATTAGTGAATGAGACCCATTCTCTTTTTTGTTTTCTTCATTCACTGTCACTCTTGTTTCACATTCAGTTTTCTCTGTTTATCCTTCTCACATTTTGTTTGTTTTAAAAAGTCTTTAAAAGAATGTGTTTTATCATATTTATGAGTATTGGATTACATATCATTTGATTTCATAGCAGCATAACCATTTCAGGTTGTTAAACCTGGAGAATTGTAGTTTGTAATGTTGATCAGGCTCTTGAAGACGATGGAAATGAGTGTGTTTTACTCTTTTAGGTGTGGAGGGTAAGGAAATGTCAGTTTTTCTGTGGTTATGTGTGAGTGTGTGACTTGGCTAACAGAGGATGGTTTGGCCTAAACCTTTAGCTGTACATTATAGTGGTGGGCTTTTTTTGTTTTGTTTTTTAAATCAGTTTTCTAGTCTTTTAAAGCTGGGCTAATTTAATCATGCTGATTACATCATGTGATTTGTTTCTTGAGAAATGGACTGACTACAGCGCCCCCTTTCGTAACAGTTTAAGACACTTGAGTGAGTGAGCTTATGCACACTGGTGTTTGAACTTGTTTTTACTGTAACTTTTGTGCATGTGGCTTCTCTGTGGTGTGTGATTGCGACACTTGCAGAGAAGCCTGAATGCATCCATGGTCATTTCCCACTGTTGTACAGAATGTTACTTAAGAATTATGTGCTCATTTTATCAGAGTGACATCCATCGCAGACCGCCTGAATGTGGACTTTGCCCTAATCCATAAGGAGCGGAAAAAGGCCAATGAGGTGGATCGTATGGTGTTGGTTGGGGACGTGAAGGACCGAGTGGCGATTTTAGTAGACGACATGGCAGACACGTGTGGGACAGTATGTCACGCGGCTGACAAGTGAGGACACGCATGATACACAATCACTTTCATGCTCAAACAAATATGCGCTTTCATGATTATCCTGGTAATCTGTCAGGCCTCATGCCTCTGTGTTTAATTGCTTGTGTGTCTCTGTCCTCTATCAGATTGGTGTCTGCGGGAGCCACTAAAGTGTACGCCATCTTGACTCATGGCATCTTCTCTGGGCCAGCCATTTCTCGTATCAATAATGCCAACTTCGAGGCAGTTGTGGTCACCAACACAATTCCACAGGAGGACAAAATCAAACACTGCAACAAGATTCAGGCACAGACATTTATCTTATAGAGAATGATGTTGTGGTTTAAGGCTGGGTCATAATTTTTGAATAATTCTTTTTAATCTATTTCTGTTTTCAGTAAATTGAAAAGCATTTAAGATATTAAACTCTTATATAACATATATATATATATACAGTGGGTACGGAAAGTATTCAGACCCCCTTAAATTTTTCACTCTTTGTTATATTGCAGCCATTTGCTAAAATCATTTAAGTTAATTTTTTTTCCTCATTAATGTACACACAGCACCCCATATTGACAGAAAAATTATAGTTAAACATACCATTTTATCAAAAATACACTAAAAACAGGAATATTGTTAAATATTATCAGATTTTAAAGTAACTATTTTATTTTAATATATTTAAAAATATAATTTATTCTTGTGATTGAACAGCTGAATTTCAGCAGCCATTACTTCAGTCTTCAGTGTCACATGATGCTTCAGAAATCATTTTTTATGCTGATTTGGTGCTCAAGAAACTTCTTATTGTTATCATATATGTTGAAAACAGTTGTGCTATTTTAGTGGAAACGGTGATGCCTTTTTTTTCCAGATTTTTTTTTTGATTAATAGAACGTTCAAAAGGACAGCAATTTTTTGCATTCTTGCTAAATAAAATTAAATAAATAAGTTTACTAACCCCAAACTTTTGAACGGTAATCTGGTATTACTTTCTGGAATATTACATCTGATTTGGTTGTTTTTCAGATCAGTTTTTTCACCCAGAGCATGTTGACTAATTTATTTCTCTTTCCCTCTCCAGGTGATCGACATTTCTATGATCCTGGCTGAAGCTATTAGGCGAACGCATAATGGGGAGTCAGTTTCATACTTGTTTAGTCATGTCCCCTTATAACATGTACACACACGCACAGATAACATGTCTTCACGCATGCCATCACTGTGTACAAACTCATATGATGGAGAACCATTGCTGGCTCTGTTAAGCCATGTTCCTTTGTAAGAGTCTCATACATGCACCATTTAACTGAAGACATATTCTGGACAGTGAATGAAAGCCCTTTGTGCAACACACAGCTCCCTGTTTCTGTTGCATGTGCTGACTTACCTTTTTTCCAAGAGTATTGTGATATGTAACAACTCCTATCATCGTGATTTCCATTCACTTTTCACTCACTATATTTCACCCATCACTCTATGGTATATAAATGTTACCTGCATGTTAGACTGAGGATTCACTTGAACGTTGCTGTCTGTTATTTCCGCCTTAGAAACCATTTAAAACCATTGACACGACAACCCCTGCTTATAATGGAAAATCTCCTGTAATACTGGAATTTTTTTTATGTTTTAGCTCTGAAGTTTGTGTAACTTAAAGGTACGATAGATGTTTATGACTTTTGTAACACTTAATTTTGTTATGGAATCTAATTACTAACATGTGGTAGATTGAAATAGAATATGGGTTAAGCCCCTTTAGATTGCCATTGTTATGGCAGCTGAATTTTTTTTCTTTTGTTTCTCTTCTCAGGTGTCAGTTTTAGGTTGATTTTTTTTTTCTTCATTACTTTATTAATTGTCATCTCTTCAGGGTCTTTTGACAGGATGAAAACCAAGATCTTGGTGGAAAAATTAGGTCACATTTTTAAGTTGTGATAAAATGTTTCTTTTATATCTATGTTCATGTTTACAGTTACGCAGCGTTTTTGACTGCTTGAACACAGATCTGTGAAGTTCCCTTTAGATTTGACTGAACACACACCTAAGTCCTAATTAAGTGGCTACTGTAGAATTGGCCCAAACAATCAGCTTGTTGAACTATATTTTTGTTGTTTCTTGCTTATAACTGTGTGGGTCAGTGTGTTTGGTTTGAGTACGTTTCTTTTTCCATGCTACTTAAGCGAGAACCGGGATAATACACTTAACTATCCTACAGCTTACACTGGAGCAGTAAGTGAGATGACCGAGCTTGATTTGATAGGTCTATGCCGTTTGCCTTAATGAAGGAGAAAAATGCTGACGATTGTATCTCATCTGAATGCAGAATGATGAGTAAAGTATTTCATGTATAAACTGCACACCCGTTTGTGGTCTAATTGTTCAATTTTTATACAATTTCATGATTATCTTTTTTTCGCATTGAGATGTTTCATGTATTTTATTTTAATTATTTCTGTACAGTTTTTAATATATTTTAATCAGTATTTTAAATTGCCTTTCTTAATTCATAAATTCGAAAACATGGCACATATTTAGTTTGGAAATATTTAATTTGATATTTCCATATCACACGGATTTAAACGTTTATAAACTGCAGTAACACTGTGGTAATACATTAGCGCACTAGCTAGGTGGCGCAATTTATTAGTTTTACAGTTTGCAAGGCAGACTTTTTCGTAAAATAAGAATTAATTCCGTAATTTAAAAATAAAATAAAATTTAAAAACGTTTTTAATGTTTTAACGTAATTTAAAGACATTACCAATATCGGTAAACATAGATGATGTTTAGAAAATTATTGCAAATGGTTTGAATCCGATGAGATATACATTTACCTATCCGTCACTCAATAGACACAATAATAAAGGCATTAATATTTAAGTAATTTGAGGAAACGGATTCGCTAAATGATCGTGCCTTTTGTCAGAGTCACATTAAACAGACCCTTATCCGAATACCGACGTGTCTCGAGCACAGCGTCAAGCTCGCGTTCACCGTGCTGTCTGTCCTGACTTTATCACGCTACACCATTGCGGGATTATCGTCTTATTTTAACTAGCAATGTTCCCACGGCTCCGCACTGCGAGCTATCCTGTTATCATCCACTTGTCTTATTTATGGAAGCCTGTTTTGAAGTAATGTGGAGTAGCGTATATGAGTGACAGAGAACGCGCGTGCTTGGTCACAAGGGTCTTCATTAAATAGATCAAGTAATATTTCCAAAGTTATTACTGAGGGAATATTGTTTTCTGTCACCAGCAAACAAATACAAACGGACTCGCGCGGTGAAAGAGAGAGAGGACAGAGCGCTCGCCTAGTTACCTCCTTTCGACCTCCTCAACTTTTAACCCCGCAGCGCGCAGCCGTCGCGCGCTGTGATGTTGACGGACAATCGCTGATTATTTACCGAACAGTTTGGAGTCTGAGCATAAATTCTGCACCAGATATGTGAGTACTACGAATTTCTCTTCTTACGCTATTTAGGATGGCTCCTCAATTTTGTATTTGGAAAGCACAGGAACACGCGTATTTATCTTGGAGGAGAAGAGGTGTTCGCGCGATGTGGGTGTTTATGGTGAATTTTGTCGCCGTGTGTGAGTTTGGACCTGGCGTGTCATGACTGTGTGAATGAAAAAGGTGTGACGACATAGAAGGCATCACGCTAATGGGAGACAGGGAATGGATGGAGGGAGAAGAGACACGGCAGAAGGCAAACGGGTTTGAGAAGAGAGGAGCTGGCTGTATTAGGATATTTTTGGTTTGATTTATTTCCAAATAAATCTATTCCCATTTTGCTTGTGTTTTTAACTAGTGGGTCACTTTAAATAAAACAAAAAAAAATGATAAACAATTAATATCTCTAATTATGTGTGATAGACATTAGAATGATTGCATTATTGCAAAAAAAGACCTCTTGTCATGACATCCAATGACTTCATTGAGCAGGAAAATGTTGACAAACAAGACAATACTCCATTGTATTAAAATTATTATTATTATTTGACTATTGTTGTTGGCTCTCTAATGGATCATTAATCTTTTACAGACGAATGTTTCCCAGCTACAAGGTGAAGGTAACAGGCTTAAACCCCAAAGCAAAATATATCTTACTGATGGACATTATTTCAGCCGACGAGCATCGGTATAAATTTGCAGATAACAAATGGTAAGAAAGTAATAAATTATAATTTATATAAACTATAATGCTAATAAAATACATAAATTAATAGAAAGGTAAACATTTATAAAGATGTTTGATTCTTTTACAACAATTAATATTAAGAAGACATTTTATTAAAAAGATTTTGATTGGTGATTGAATCAATGTATGTAAGGCTGTTGAGCTGTTGAAAGTGACTGAATGAAAATGACAGGTGTAGCTAAATCAATGCATGGAGGAATGCTAAGAGAAAGGTATGCATAGCATAAATAGAAATGAACTCTGTTGTGTGTTGATGTTGTGAAATGATGCAAAAACAATGCAATTATAAGCCTTGGTTAGTGAATATTGTTCAGTGAGTGGAGGATTCAAAGCAGAAGTGCATTTTGCAACCTGAACTTTTATCTCAGAATTGTGGAGCAGACAGAAAGTCCTTATCTCTTTATATGGACCAACTCGTTCATGTCCTATCTGCTTTGCAGGTCCATCAGTGGTAAAGCTGAGCCGGCGATTCCAGGCCGACTGTATGTGCACCCAGACTCACCGGCTTCAGGAGCTCACTGGATGAGACAGCTCGTCTCTTTCCAGAAACTCAAGCTCACCAACAACCACCTGGACCCTTTCGGACATGTCAGTGATGTTTCCAATCAAATTGAATTGGTTATTTAAATTACTGATGAACATAACTAAACTCTCCACTGGTTTACACCTCAGTTGGATTGAACTGGACGTAGAACAGGGTTTCTTTGGGTCTTTAAAAGGCCTTAAAACTCACCTTCCATAAAATAAGGCCAAAAAGGTCTTAAATTAAGTCTAAAGTTCATAAAGTCAATGTTGTGTGCATTGCTAAATTAATATCTTCCTCAGTACATTTGTCTTGTTTTCCAATACATATTTCTAAACATCGAGATACATTTTCTTGAGATGCAAAATGAAGATATTTTATTATTTTTTAAATCATAAACACTTAATTTTGATACATTTTACAGAAACAAGATTTCTTATCTCATGTCACTTTGCTTCTCAAGTAAATGTATCTTGATTTAAGACTCTTTAGACATTTGTCCTGGACAACAAGACAAAAGAGGAAGGACAGAGGTTGGGAGAAGAGGTATTCTAGCCTTTTTTTTGTTTGTTTGTTTTTTGTAAACCAATTTAAAAAGTAATAGAGGTCGATTGGAAGCTGTATTTTTTAACTCTGAAGTGTTGCTAATAGATCACATTGTGTTCTTTACATTTTCTTTGCTTGGTCTTAAAAAGGTCTTAAAACATCTTGCCTTCATAAAACCTGCAGAAACCCTGATGGAACCAACGTGTTGATAAGGAAATCTCGTCCTGTTATTTGTTGCAGATCATTTTAAATTCCATGCATAAATACCAGCCTCGCCTGCACATTGTGAAGGCAGACGAGAGGAACAGCTTTGGCTCCAGCAATACAAGTTTCTGCACACACTCATTTCCTGAGACAACCTTCATCGCTGTAACTTCCTACCAGAACCACATAGTAAGCAGCATGACCCCTATGATAGTAAATAAATGGATAGATTTGCAGAAAGCAGCAGTGTTCATCTTTAATCCTCTGTTTTGTTAGATCACTCAGCTGAAGATTGAGAATAATCCATTTGCTAAAGGTTTCCGTGGAAATGACGATATCGAATTGCATCGCATGTCCCGTACACCAAGGTGGAACACACATATTTTAAACATATTAATACGCATGCAAACATCTTACTTTAGTTGATCATAACGGCACCACAAGTTTGTATGTAAGTAATGATGAATCACTAATGTACTGTATTATTTTCAGTCTTCATTTATGTGTTCTATGTGCCTGCGTGTCATTATGTGTTGCATCTCATAGCCACTGATGTTGTTGTTTCAGATACACGGAGAATATGTTGTCCTTTTAACTAGCAGGGTTTAGGAATAAAAGTCAAAGCTTTGTGTTGCATGTTGACAGTATTGAATGTGACACACAAGAGAGGGATATTTATAGTGTAACAATATTAAGAGCAGAGCTGCACAACACACTGTCACACAGAGGTCACTGAAGGGCTAATGTGTGTGTGTCTAAGTAAATGCGTTTTTGAGAGAGATAGTGAGAAAAACAGAGAGAAAGAGGAATGAGTCAGATTGGAAAGGGGGTATAGAAAAGATTTTTGGCTACTGTAATTGTCTCTTAGCTTAGAAATTTAATTAGAAACGATCAGTACTGTGCAAATGATATCTGTTACCCTCGCCGCCCCACCGTGCCAATACAAAACATGAGCCTGCTCTCTCTCTTTTAACACCCTGATATATCAACTGTAGTGGCAGTGCTTTGTGACTCTTCCCCTAAAAGTTCCCTGATGGACTGAGCTTCTGAAGTATTCTGAATATATCTTTTGAGTTCTTTCTTAAAACGTATTTTTTCTCATTTCTCAAATTTTGTCTGGGCCTCTGCTGTAGGAACCAATGCATCTGATGCCTATTTTACCCTTTTTCCACAGTAAGGAGTATCCACTTGTACCACGTAGTACTGCAAGGCAGCGTGTATCTCCACCCTCTCCTGACTCCTGTCTCTCTCAGGCAGAATACACTTTGACACAAAAACCCAGTCCTGGCTACACCTGCTCTGACATTTCAGGTACGTGGTGCAAAACAGAGGTTGAATTTTTGTGTAATAATATTTTGATTATAGGTATGTTTTATTTTCACAAAAGTAGATTTGTTCAAGTTGCTCCAAGCTTTGTGGCATTAAAAAAAAAAAATCCTTAAAGGTCCCATATTTTACACCTTTCTGGAGTTTTATTTTAGGTTTTGATGTCCTTAAGAATATATATTTGTGGTATAAGTACCAAAAACCATCTCAATATATTTACTTTGAATTATTGTGGACTTTTTAAAAAAAAAACAATGTTTGTTATTTAAAGAGCTTTAATAATTTTTTTTTTTAATTCAGGTTCTGTAAGTAGTATTCATAATTATAATTGACAGTTCACTCTCTCACTTGAAAATGCAACAAAAATAATTTAAAATTAATTTGCCATTAACAACACTCAAGAAAACTTTTTGTTCATTTTGCCATATTTATTATCTTGTATTTGATTTTTCCTGTGCTAATGTATTTGTTTTTTCCCCAACTAACACAGACCGTGTTGAGATATCCGATCCGATTACTCTTATGAACACTTTTTCAGTCAGTCAATGAACTGGCAACCATTATCTGTTTCGTAACAAAAATTCTGCCTGTCGAGTGAGAGAGAGGCTAGAATGTTGTGTTGATTGATAATGGTTGTAACGTCACCCAAACAAAGTTAAACATTGGCATATAAACAACCAGTCAGTAAATAGACTGCTGAAAGTCTAACAAGACAAAAAAAGTCACGTGACATTTAGCCAAGTATGGTGTCTCCTACTCAGAATTTGTGCTCTGCTTTTAACCCATTCTAGTGCGCACACACACATCAGTGAGTAGTGAACACACACACTGTGAACACGCACCCGGCGGTGTGGGCAGCTATTTTTGCTGCGGTGCCCAGGGAGCAGTTCGGGGTTTGGTGCCTTGCTCAAGGGTCTCACCGACCTCAGTCGTGGTATTGAGGGTGGAAGAGAGCGCTGGTCATTTACTCCCCCCACCTACAATCCCTCGGTACCGAGACTCAAACCCGCAAGCTTTGGGTTACAAGTCCGACTCTCTAACCATTAGGCCACAACTGCCCCACTTTATTTATTTATTTATTTTTTATTAAAAGTACCTTACAGTTAGGCCTGTCGCAATAATCAATATTTCGACTTATCGCGCAATATATGTACATGACCTCAATAATTTTTGGTGACGCAATATATCGCCCATTATATTTACTTAAAATTTAATGTCACCGTGTTTTGTACATTCCACTTGCGCCTGTGTCTTTTGCAGCTTTTCGTACATAACGTGATGTAGTCATGAGGTGCTAGTTCAAATTTAAAAAATGCTTCTACAAACAACAATAGTGTGCACCTTTAATTTACAGAGAAAAAAGGTCCGGGAAAAATCTGTAGATGGAAAAATCTCCATACAAGTTCTTTGTGCATTTTTCTTTTTTTCTACTCGTTACTTTGCACTTTTTGTTAGAAAATGTTTATTTACTATTAATTCAAGTTTTTTAAGGTATCTAATATTTTGATACTTAATTTCCATGATCTAAATATATTTAAATGGCACAAATAGAGTCAGGGTCACTAGAGTAACAACATCATATTGGAACAGATTTATACGAAATATAACTAGGTAATATAACTAAAGTATAAATCACCATACTTTATAACATTTAAGAAGTTATAGTCTACTATTAAGTATTAGTCAACTATTAACAATTATGTAATTCGACGGAGAGGTCAGTAAAATAGGGTGTTACTATGAAGGAATGTTTTGTATTGCTTTTTCAAAGTAGTTTTACTTGTATTTTAAAATAAGCAATGCATTGTATTGTGTTGTAGGACTTAAGAACTGTCAATAAACTTTCCTTAAACTACCAGTTCCTGTTTTTTTTTCTTACAATGTAATTTGTTTTATTATAGGAGCCTAAATCTCATGCATTTTTGTTGTCTAGACCCTGTTCTGTATGTGGCAGAGAGCACTCTGTAAACCTTTTGGCATTCTGCATTCATGCTATTATTAATTCAAAAGCTCTGTGACAGTCTTCTAAGCAAGCAGCAACAAGCTATGTAAACCCAAAAAAATGAGCAACTCTTTTAAGGCAGAAATCCACATTTACATGAGTGACGTGACATGTGGCCAAGTATGGTTACCCATACTAGGAAAGCTCTGCATTTAACCCATCCTAAGTGCACACACACAGCAGTGAACACACACGCACCGTGAACACACACCCGGAGCAGTGGGCAGCCATTTATGCTGCGGCACCCGGGGAGCAGTTGGGGGTTCGGTGCCTTGCTCAAGGGCACCTCAGTCGTGGTATTGAAGGTGGGAGAGAGTGCTGTACATTCACTCCCCCCACCGACAACCTGAGACTCGAACTCACAACCTTTGGGTTTCGAGTCCGACTCTCTAACCATTGTGCCACGACTTCCCCTGAAACCAGCATTTCAGAGCTGGTTTGCCAAGTCTCTGCTGCAATGATTGAAACAGGTTTGTTTTTCTCTCTGCAGGTGACCACACCCTCACTGAAACCCCTCCCACTCATGACCCCACCTACCACCTCTTCACCTACCAGCTCTCTCCGGAGGTGACCCCTGTGCACAGCGCCCCCTGCAGTATGGACACCACACAGCACCAGCCTTGCATGTATGGAAGCTCTCAGGTGGGCTTGGAGGACCTCAGGTGGGCGTCATATACAGACAGCACAACTTACCAAAGCTTTTCTTCAGCTAAAGAAATGGGTGGGACATTTGGTCCCCCCACTGACCTCTCTCAGGAACTGTATCCACAATACACCTGTGAGGTGGGTGTCCAGTCACACTGCATGATGACTGATTTCTCGCTTTATGCTTGCAATCGATCATTCAGCCAAAACCAACAACCAAACAGCTGGTGCGGGGGGAGCTGAGCAAGTGTGTGTGTGTGTGTGTGTGAGAGAGAGAGAGAGAGGGAAAATAAGGAAAAAGAGTCTGTGAATAATTGTGGTAACGTACTCATAACTTTATCCTGAAATCACAAGTTTACATTTGTTTTGCTTCACAGTTTCTACCTTGTTGTGAATGAGGTCTGGCAAATTAAAATTATAATTTTGCTATATCATCAAAATAATAAATAACAATAAAATTCAACAAATTGCAATATAGTAGCTGCAATTGTTATTTCACATATTGGTATAAATATTTTTATATATTTTGTAACATTTTTTATAATTTTATATATACTTTTTATAATAATATTTTATATTTGCTTATGCTTTTTGTCATCAACATAAATAAAAATATAATAAATTAATAAGATAATAATAAATTAAAAATAAAGTTTCCAGTTATAACCAAACTGAGTTTTACAGCCTGAAGAACCTTTTTTTTTTAACACTGATGTGAAGAACTTATGACACATCAGCAACAAAGAACCAATATAATGCAATATATGCGAGCATATACAGTATATGCAGCTTTATTTTAACAGCAGTTTTTAATTTAAAAGCATTTTAAGATGTGACTAATCCTAAGAAAGTTTTTTTTTTGCATTCACAGTCACTGTGGAGCAAGTGGAAACTAATGGGATTTCAGGGTAAAAATGAGAGATTTTCATTTAAAATAGACAAACAAAACATTTAATTTCCTCTTATCTGAACCCAGTGATGAACCTTTGCATGACCCTTGTGTCTTCAATGATATGTGTGTGAAATTTTGTGTACATGTGTATCAAATATCTTCTGGTAAAAATGTGTGAATCTCTGTTACCATTACAGCAGGAATTTTTTATTTATTTCATCAAGATACAACTACACCAGGAATTTAAAAAAATTAGGAAAAAGTTAAGGAGGTGGCTTGTTTCATTGTGGCCATTATCTGTGAAGATTTAGGGAGAATTCCCAGTTTTTACTATTTCACTTAGGAATGCTGTTGTACAAACACTAACAAACCCAAATGCAAGATTTATAACTCTCAAACCTCCTATCCAGCTGAACACGTACATGCGCTAGCTTCAGATGGGGGTCCTTTATTTTGTTTATTCTTGCTCTATTATGATGAGAAAAGGGAATGCTGGGTACTGCACTTGTCACAGTCCGTTAAGGGAGCAGTGATGTTACCAATCCTGTCATGGCCCAAGGCAAGAGACACAGAGAGAGAGAGAGAGAGAGAGAGAGAGAGACAGAGAGGAGGGGATGCATCAGCTGGACATTTATTTATAGACACACCATGCAATAAGAATTTCATGAGTGAAATCTGGTCATTTTAAAGAAAGTTTTTAATGTTGTGAAACACTTGCTTTGATTATTTATAATGAACTATTTATTTATTTTGAGTTCACAAATTGTGTTTGCTGATATTTATTTGTAAAGCTTTTTTATATTTATTGAGCAGCTTGCTTTACCTTGACAAATGTAGAGTTTCTGTGTTTTGTGAAGGTGTTTTGTGAAATATTGAATATGAGGCTGAAATAAAATGTTAATCCACAGCTGTCTTTTGTGTTGATATGAAATAGAACTTTATTCATAGATCTTGATGTTTTGTACAGATGTCATGCATTGTATGTGTATGTGTGCATGCATACATATATGACAACAGTTTAGCTGTGTGTGTGTGTGTGTGTGTGTGCCTTAGAGCTGTAGTTTCACACGTTGTGTAAGAGTTTGAGCAGTTGCAGGGCAACACAGAGACAGAGAGAGAGAGAGAGAAACCTATCAGAAGTTTGTCTTTACAGGAATGACTGGAAAGTTCTTTTGAGGAAAACTGTTTATCATTTAAAGGGTCATGAAACCCCCTGTTTCAGCACTGGTTAGTTCTCACCACAGTTTAAAAAAATGCTAAAAAAGTGGGTGTGGTGTGCTGCGAGCGGAGGGGGAAGAGGGGAGACAGACAACACACACAGCTTCGCGTTCAGACAGTAGGGATGGGCGATACCTCTTATTTAATTTCCGATCTGATACCGATATTTTCAAGCCCAGTATCGTCGATATCGATACCGATACTTCTAACCTAAACTGATCTTTTAAATTATTAAAATAATATATAATTAGTAATTATATTCAATTTTTTTACATTTCATAGGCCTTTTTTGTTTACACTGTCAGAAATAAAATATACTATAATTGTATTTTAGACCTTTACTGGGGCAGTAACCTCAAAGGTGCAACTATACCCCTAAAAGTGAGCATATTAGTACCATACAAGTATGCATGCTTTAAGGGTAGATAAGTTACAAAGGTGCCCCTTTGAGGGTACCTCATGAAAAATAAATATGGTGTTACATAAGTACTCAAATGTATTATTAGTATTATTATTATTACCATGGTAAAATTGTGGTTACTGCAGTTTTACTACAAATACTGTGGTAAACTGTGGTTACTGTAATAAAACCATGGTTAATTTTTGTAAAAGGCTGCCAAGATGTTGTACCTTATACCTTTCTACAAGGTGAAACTTTTGCATATTTTTTTCTGACAGATTTATTAACAGCAATTACAGAACATAACACAATCCATTTGAACTTTTAACAACCAGTTTAAATAAATTTACTTGCACAAACTAGCCAATTTAAAATGAATATTACATGTACACAAAAGTTTGGGGTCAGTAAGATTTTGTAATATTTTTTTAAGTCTCATGCTCACGTTTGGGGTCAGTAAGATTTTGTAATATTTTTTTAAGTATCATGCTCACCAAGGCGCACTTATTTAAAAAAAAAAAACAAAAAAAAAACAGCAACAGTAAAAGCAGCAATATTGAGAAAAATAACTATTAAAAATAACTATTTTCCATTTTAATATATTTTTAAATGTATCTGCGATCAAAGCTGAATTTTCAGCATCAATACTCCAGTCTTCAGTGTC